TAAAGGTAGCATTTCTGAGCCTTTCTAGTTGCCCCGCCCACCAGGGTTGAGGGCTATTTTCTGCCATGAATCCACTCGTTCAACCGTGTTTTTCGTTTTTTCACTGTTAGACGGTATTAAGAGGCGATAGGATATAGCTTTGCTGCCGTGAAACGAGCAAATCCAGAAAACTCGTACATTGAGGCTGCCAGGGGTCCTTACTTAGGGTGTATTTCCTAGAGGAAAACCTAGCGACTATAGGTCCGTTATCAAACGCCACTGTCCACAGCAATCGCAGGGTTTGCCTTTGACCTTTTTGCTGGGCAGAATTCCTTATCTCCTTTACGGTACTTCTACTTTTGCACAGAGCCCTTTGAATTTTCCTCTAAGGCTAGCGCTGGAGTTCCTGCTTTGACTGGTCATTTCCTTAGCGTTTAGCTCCTGCCAAGAAGAGTTCAGTTGACGAGTCACCCGTTTTTCTGCGAGTAGACAGGCTGCTCTTATGTGGCCGCGCGGTCTTCAACGGGCCCTCGAATACACTTGCCGCTATCAAGCGTTATGGGTAGTAGGTGCTCAACCATTAACCAGTAGCCCATAAATTACTCCCCAGTGGGGGAAGAATCGAAAAAAAACTTGCCTTGAACAGAGCCCCCTCTCCAGCAGTGGGGCCGGCGCCGGCGCCTTGGACGAGTTTCTCTGACGTCACAGAAGCCCAATCAGCAGATTCGACGTGCAACCATTCCCGGCAAGAGCATAGGAAATCGCCCTACGACGCTCCAGGCAACGCTATGTACACACGCAATTCCGCTTGTAAGCCGTTGTCTTGCAGAGTGAAAGTAATCGTGGTTGCAATGGTTGCAATAATCATATGTCTCTAGCTTCTTTATCTCGCCGTTTCGAGTGACGAAAGTGGTACGTTCTTTGCGAATGCGGACAACGAAACCAAATACATAAAGGCATTACGCGGATCACTTGGTCGCGGGAACTGTCTTTAAACAGGTGCAGTGTAGGAAACCCATGTTGCACCTACGAAGAACGTTTTCTAGGTAGCTGATTCAGAGGGATTAACTTTTCCCCCCCATTGCAGTCTTATTCGCTGTTTATGAAGGGGCGTATCAAGCCAAAATAATCGACATTGATGGTTAGCATGAAGCGCAGACGCTGAACGCTATCTTAAGTAGTCGAACGTAGAGCTTTGTCGGTCGTTGAAGTCCTTCTAGGGTTTTTGTCATGTTTCGGAAAATATGTTGCCTGAAAGAAAGATGATATTCAAGTTCCTCTGTCGTAGCATGTAC